CTCTTTGATAGTTAGAACTAAAAATGGCTTACAACTCATCTGTCTAGATCTTATGACCATAAATATACACAAGAGAATACAGAATGAATGCATCTACTGTTGACCTTGTGACTCAAGCATCACTGTCAATCCTTTCCAGAATCTGTGTCTCCAACACACTGGGCAGCTTGCAACATGGCCCAGCATATGAGGCCTACTCAGAGACACATACGCAACAAAGAGGAACACGAGAAACACACAGAAAGCCATCCAGAAACAAGAAACCACAAAGCTGTAACATTTAGTCAAACAGAAGTCTCATTTGATTCTCTCTCTCATCTTCCTTCAAGGATAATTAGCTTGACAGTTGTACTAGGGTGAGCCAGCCTAGAAGCCAGGCCCTTCTGCTTGTTTTTATCTGTTGGTTGCAAGCAGCTCTCTAACAGCCCCTATATTAATGGTACCAGCAATGGATGCTGTTTTCCTGCCCCTACAACTAGCTCACTTCTCCTGCCCTCCTTGCTTTGATATCATTTATCTTAATTTCTTCAAAAAATATTTATAGGCTACATCAAGAAAGCCAGATTTTCATACCAAATTACTACTAATTCTCATGCTCTGAAATATATCTGCATTATATATAGATATTATAAATATTATAGATATATAATATATAGGTTATTATTATATATAATATATTATTATACCTATTATATTCATATATAATTATACATTAGTGTATAATTATATGTTTTATAATATATTATATAATATATTTATATTAATATATTATTGATATATTAATATAACTATTATATATATCTATATTTCATATATATACACATATAGATATGTATCTTTGAAGGAATACAAAATGCCATTAGAAAAATCTATATGTGAAATAAAAACATACTACTAAAAAGTACCTATAACAACACACCTCTAATTCAGCTTTAGCTCATTTATCCCATTCCTTGAATATATCATTAGTTTGCCCCTAATCTTCCTGTTTCCTATCTTTTCTGCAGTCACACCTTACACATCAAGTAAACTATGCCTACCTAAGGAAGTTGTGGTCATTTTTTCAACTCAGAAAATCTTTCTGAGATGAACAAATTAAAGACAATCTTCAGAGGTTTGGTTTATATTCGCTGATCAGAATTTGAAAATATTCTAATCAATTGCAACTCACTAGTGAATCGCTGATACGCTTTTGTTATTGGATTTTTCTTTTTATTATTCAGTACCTAGAAACAGCAAAGTCAATATTCACATCTGGATGGTCTGTTTCAAATTTTCATAGATTATGAACTATAAACAACATCCTTTAATGCTTCATGCAATGAAAACTTTGTATGGATATAAACACAAAGACACAAACTTTTAATTAGTCTCATTTTGTTTTATCTAAGTTCTTTTTCTCATGGGGGAACATATGAAGCTTTTAATCTCTAGGAGTTATAGTACAGCAAATGCTACAACTAAAGATTGCACAAACATCAATGAAATAAGCAGATAGATATATTCTATCAGTATTTCTTTTCTTGCAAAACAAACAGTTCTTTTATATCTTAATTACAAATACAAATATAAGGTGCCCAAAAGTATTAACCTCCTAAAAAAAGGACTTTATTTTAGGCAAAGATCATTAAGAATATTTATGGAATGTCCTATCCTTTTACTCTTGGGCTAAGTGTCATAAAAAATGAGTTAAAGTGGTCACTGCCAAGCCCAATCTTATGTCAATTTAAGTAAATTTTAAATAGCATGAAATGCCTAACAATTACCCAGAAATGGGCACGCTACTCGGGATGAATCAGAATGACTAGAAAACACAGCCATATCTTGATATTTTGTCTTTCTCTTCTCCACTTTGCCAAGAGTGAGAATGGAAGCAGATGCCATAAACAAGACATTTGGAAGGGAAAACTTGGCCTTACCTCTGAAAAGAGACAGTTAAAGCTAGATCCTGCTGGACAGAATTCAAATCAATCCAATTCAATAAGCATTTATTTAAGTGCTTCTAGTTGCCAGGAACTGTGGGGATATAAAGGCAAAAATAAAAGTCCCTTCCCTCAAGGAACTTGTATTCTAGAAGTGGAGGAGGGGGGAACACTGATAAATTCAAAATAGATACAAAATAATTATGAAGCAATTTGGGGTGGAGGATCTCAATCAACAAAGATCTTTTATAGGAAATGGCACTTGAACTAAGCCTTGAAAGGAAGTCAGATTTCTAAGAGATAGAGGTGTTGAGATAGAGCATTCTAGACATAGGGCACTAGTCTATGTGAAAGTATGGAGGAAGGAAACATGATTTCATATAGGTAATATGAAATGGGTCAGCCTGGTTGAAATATAGAACTCATGATAGAGAATAACGTGAAATTGGTTTGGAAACATAAATAATTCTGGAATATTTTTAATGTCAGGCTAAGGAATAAAGAGAGACTTACTTCCAGAAATAAGGATACAGTCCCTTTATCCTCTGCCCTCATCAGACCTCACTTGGAGTATTGAGTTAATTTCTGGGCCCCACAATCTAAAAAGGATATTAGGAGGATAACAGAAAAGGACAATCAGGATTATGAAGAGCCTTGAGTCCATATCAAAAAGGAATAGTTTAGAAAATTAGGAATGTTTGCCCCAAAGAAGAGAAAATCGTGGCCAAGATAGTAGTGTTCAAGCATATTATAGGTCCTCATGTAGAAGAGAGATTATATTTATTATGTTTGGCCCAAGAAGGCAGACCTAGAAGCAACAGGAACAAGTAGCTAAGAGAACCACTTAGGCTTTAGCTGTCCTGAAATTCCTTCTGACAGAGCAGTCCCAAGTGGTTGTCTCAAGGTGTGGTGAGTTCCTCATCCTTCCAGAGGATGTTAGATGACCACTTGTTGGGTATGCAATTGCAGGGATTCCTTTTGAGTATAAATTGAGCTAGATAGCTAATGAGGTCTCTAAAACAAATCTAAAATTCTATCACACTATGATTCTGAGTATGTATTTTATCCCAGAAGCAACAACAGAGAGCCACAGAAAATTTTTGAGCAAAGAAATGACAAGTTCAGAGCTGTGTTTTAGAAACATGGATTTCACAAAGATGGCTCCAAGGTTGTGAACCTAATGACTAGAAAGATGAATGAAAGAGTAAAGTGTAAAGAAGGGGCAAGCTGACAGCAGGAGGTAGGGAGGAAAATGGTGTATTCTGTTTTAAACATAAAGAGTACAGAGATGCCGATGGTGCCTTTCAGTATTTTTTGGTCTGTTTTTTGTTTGTTTGTTTTTTTAAGGCAAACAGGGTTAAATGACTTGCCCAGAGTCACATAGCTAGTAAGTGTCTGAGGCCACATTTGATCTTGGGTCCTCCTGACTACAGGGTCAGCACTCTGTCCACTGTAACACCTAGATGCCTCTCAGTAGTGATTTCTAGCAAGCAGTTCAAGACAGAGACTGGATACAGGTCTACAGATGTAGACATCATATGCATGGAGATGAAAACCAAATACACAGGATTCAAATCTCTCCTCTGATGTTTACTAAATGTATGACCTTGGGTAAGTCACAATCCCCCGGGACTCAAATTTCTCTTTTACAAAATGAGAGGATTGAATTAGATGGCCTCTAAGGCCATGTAATTAACAACTACTAATGCTATTAGTACTGCAACTACTACTACTAATAATAATAATAACAGTATTGCTACCACTACAGGAACAATTCATAGACCTTTGACAAGACTTATATAACTGTTACAGAACAGAAGAGCAGAACCAGGAAAACAATATACACAATCACTACAATAATGTAAATGAAAAGAGCACATAACAGAAAACCAACCTAATACTCAATCTAAACTTTAGATTGAGTATTCTGTGATACTACATAGTCATATTTTATGGATATTTCTACCTACATATCAGGTAATCATTCCCATAATAGTTTTTTTAATTTAAAATGAGAAGGAATTCGATTTTACTTTTCCTCCCATATCAATGGAAGTCATTGTTACCATATTTCTTTTTTAAAATCAGCATGCAAATTAAAATAAAATAAAATTAGCATCCAAAATAAAATAAAACTCATCAAATTTAAATAACTAGTAAAAATATAGTGTGAAATATTAGCAATTTTGTGAAAGCAAAAAATTGTATGCATCAACCGGGGAATAGCTCAACAAAAATGGAACATTACTGTACGGAGTAGGTGTCATACTGGATAGAGTGTTGTTGTATTTGGAGTCAGGAAGACCTGAGCTCAAATCCTGCCTCAGACACTTAGTAACTGCATGGCTCTAGGCAAGTCACTTAAGCTCTGTTTGCTTCTGTTTCCTCATCTGTAAAATGAGCTGGAAAAGGAAATGGCAAACCACTCCAGTATCTTTGCCAAAAAAAAAAAAAGGAAGAGTTGAACAGAACTGAAACATGACTAAACAACAATTACTCTATTACAACTACTGCAACAACTACTAATACTGAGTACTGCAACTACTCCTAACAATAATAATAACAATAACAATATTGCTACCACTACATGAACAATTCACAGAAATCTGGCAAGACTTGTATAACTGTTGCAGAACAAAAGAGCAGAACCAGGAAAACAATATACACAATAATTACAATAATGAAGAGCACAAAAGGACAGCCAATCTCAGATTCATTGTAATCACTCATTTAGGTTCTAGATGAGGTATGGTGAAAAATATTTCCCTTTGCTTATGAAAGAATGTAGAGACCAGGCATGTGGAAAGTTATATATTATGTCAGATATAGTCATTTTGTCAGGTGGATTTGCATAACTGTTTTTCTTTGTTACAAGGGAAGATTGAGTGTGAGCGATGGGTTGACAATAATAAATGATTGTTATTAAAATGGCATCAATAAAACATTAAATATATTTATACATTTATGTATACGGATGTTATATATTATTTTCATATGTGATATAAATATATAATATGTTATCTTATGCATAATAAATATATTTTTTATTTTGAAAATTATACAAGTATCCACTGTTACCTGGGGTCTTGATGGGTTAAAAGCCACATTGATCACTGCTTCTGTGTGTCCTGCCAATTTGTGGGAAAAGGTGCTTGAGCCCATCTCATATATATAAACCTAAAAGATAAAATGAAAATTTCATGGAAAAATCAACATAATCTCACTCAACACCATTTTCACTTATATAAATTTAGTTTCCTAGAATGCTATTAAAATATCAGCCCCAACCTGACAAACAGTAAGTGCTTAATGACAATAATTCAATATTCACATAAAAGATAGTTTTAAAGCATTTTACATTTAATTATATGAGTATGATTTTCCCTCTATGAAGGATCAAAATACTCATACTAGCACTGCCCTCCATTAACCCCTCATCCTCCCTTTCCATTGTGTCCTTTGGAACACACTTTGAACAGGCCTTAAACAATCTTCCTAATCTCTTCCTCCTTCACTCAGCTGAAAACTGGCTTTTGCCCAAGGACTCCATATCTCTACCAACAGTCTCTAATGATGACTACTCATTTCTCAAATCTTTCCAACCCCCATCCAACAACCAACTCTGGTTCACAGAGCCTCAGGTAACATTGCCACATAAAATTCTCCTCTTGCTCCCCATTGCAATTCCTCAATTACTTTTAAGTTCAGGCCATCTAATTATACCCTCTCCCTACCACTGTCACTTCTTGTTTCTGCTGTTGTTGGTTATTCAGTCATGTCCAACTCTTTACGACTCATGGAGTATAGTACACAAGGCCCTTCTGTCCTCCACTATCTCCCCAAGTCTGTCTAAGCTCACACTCATTGCTTCCATTACACTATCTACCCATCTCATCCTCTGCCCTCCCCTTTTCTTTTTGCCTTCAACCTTTCCCAACTCCAAGGTCTTTTCCAATGAGCCCCATCTTTTCATTATGCAGCCAAAGTATTTAAGTTTCAGCTTCATCATTTGACCTTCTAATAAATAATCTGAATTAATTTTTTTAATTATTGACTGATTTGATTCCCTTGCTTTCCAAGGGACTCTCAAATGTCTTCTCCAGCACCACAATTTGAAAGCATCAGCTCTGTGGTGCTCAACTTTCCTTACAATCCAATTCTCACAACTATACATTGCTGCTGGAAAAGCCATAGCTTTGTCTATACAAATTGTCAACAAGTTGACATCTCTGCTTTTTAGTATGTTGTCCTAATACGCTACAGTTTTCCTTCCAAGGAGCATTTTTAATCACTACCATCTACCAAATCACTTTCCAACTTTACTCTATGACTTCAGCACCTCATTTGCAGCATTCCTTCCCCACCAACACACTGAAAGACTTGAGTATCTATGCCAAAGGCTCTTATGGCAGTATTTCATAACAGGTTCTTGAATTCATCGATTTTTTAACACCTACCTCTAACGTACTTCTGACAAACATTGGAATGGTCACATCCAGATCCAACCAAACTGCTCTACTCCAAAGTTCTGACACCTGAAATTCTGACTCCTTTACCTTTTCCAATATCTTGCACCCTCCTGTACTATGTATGAACTATCCCTTACTTACTACTCTCCCAATCTATCACTCCTCTTTTGGCCTCAATTTTCTCCCTACTCAGGCTTAACCCTGTGGCTAGCTACTTCAATAAAACCACCTACTCTAGCATGGCATAAAGTATTTCAACCTAGAGGGGAAGTCCCCAGGTCCTGCATTACTAAGGATGAGTAGAATCATGGGATAGCTTCTAATGACCCCAGTCAAGCACCTATTGCCAGTAGGAGAGATATGGTAGGCTATGGAATATACGTTTGTGTTGAGGATAGAATTTCAAGGAAAAAGTTGCTAGGCTCTGGAGCAAATTTAATTACAAGCCACATGGCAACAAGGAACTGCTACCGACCAGCAGGCCTATCACGTAGGCACCTAGAACACAAAGGTTATCTTTGTTTCAATAAAAAACAAAAGCCTTTGAAACAATGGCAGTTTCACAGGGAGACTTTTTTTAATCTGGTTTTTGGGTGACCATAGCTTTCTCAGAACTGACAAATACTCCACTCTATGTGGGCTACACTTGCCAGGCCTACAGCATAGTCTCCATGGAAAGAAGAACAGAAGATCTAGATGCTCTTAAGGATCAGAATCCAATCCAAAACTATCAGCATATATCTTTGCCCTGTGTTTGACAACTGTATCTTTAAATGATAAGTAAGCATTTTTGTACTTCTTATTTATGTCAAGTTAGTCATTTGTGGTATTCTAATACCTGGGTTTAGTAACTCTCCTAAAATACAAATATTCCATTACAACATGATGCATGTGCCAACAGCTTTGCAAAGATGACAAAAGCTGAAAATAGAAAATGTTAGAATGGCTGTTGGAAAACTGGTATGCTAAAGTACTGATGGTAGAGCTATGAATTGGTCTAACTCCTCTGGAAAACAATGAGGAATTATAATAGAAAATCCACTGAAGCTTGCATACACTTTGATACTACAACTCAACCTATATTCCAAAAAAGTCAAAGCCAGGAGAAGAAACCATAAATAGAAAAATATTTATAGTAGCACTTTTTGTGACAGCAAAGAAATGAGAAACAAAGTAGTGCCCAGAGATTAGGGAATTGTAGAGCAAACTGGGGTATGTGAATGTAATGGAATATAATTGTGCTATAATAAGTGACAAACATGAAGAATTCAGGGAAGCCTGGGAAGACTTGTATGAATCAATGAAGTAAATGGAACCTAGAGACCAATTTGCAACTACAATAAAGTAAACACAAAGAAAGATGTCAGAAATCTGATCAATGAATTGAAAAGTTTTGACTTCATAGAAGTGATGTTGAAGCATGACTCCCCTCCTCCCAGCAGAGAGGTAAATCCTTCTAGGTATGGAATGAGGTGGTTGTTCTTCCTTCATTCTTGAAGAAGACCATGTGCATGGTTGGATTTGAGTAAGGCAGAGCTGTGCAAATTCATCAACCTCACTCTCCTCCAGAAATTGGCGTCCAGCAGGAAGACCAAGGTCAAGATGATTAGTGATGGCCCGGGATGCAATGGGTGATCTTGGCCTTTTTAATTTAAGGTCTTTCCCAGGTCTCAGTTTATCTGAGGCCGCGCCCATCCAATGATTAAGGGTTAGGTAAGAATTGAGACAAAACATGGCCCAATTTACTATCTCAAAGATATCCATCTGGGTGGGGAAGACCCTCAGAGTTTTGGCCACAATAGAAAACAATTGCTATTTACACTCAGAATGAAGTATATGTTGTCAGACATGAGTAATGTGTTGATTTTATTTTTACCTTTTTTTTCAAGGCAGGTTTGTCTTCGAATGAGGATAGAAGATTTGGATAGTGTTCATAATATTAAATAGGTAGATAGATAGATAGACAGATAGATAGATAGATAGATAGATAGATAGATACATTTTAATCATTTATCTTTTAAAAATCCAGTCAAAAGGAAAACCTCAGGGGTTTTGATAGCTTCCTGGCTAGGTATGCTTGTCATAGCCCTTATGCTATGAACTATAGCTATAGAGACTCAAAGAACTTGCCCCTCCCATGCAAAGGAAAAGATTCCCAAGAGTTGCGCCCCAATAGGTAGTAGCAATGATCTAAGGATGGTCTGAAAAGTTAGAATAGATGAAATATAGCCAATGGTATCAAAGGGCAACTCAGTGAATACCAAAGCTACAAATAAATAGAAGTACCCAGAGAATATGATGTTAAATACAGCAGAGATGCAATATCTAACAAAGACCTACACAGAGCACAGTACTGACATAACCAGAGGACATCAAGGGCTCTGAAACATCCAATGTGGGGGTTGGATGGCCATATGCATGCCCTCAATGAGTGCGACCAAGCTAAAACATGTTCCCATGTATTCCTTTCATACTCCCTGATCATATGTGATCTCTGCATATGTACAATCCTCCCATTAGTAGCATGGCAACTGTTGGGAGAATGTACCCCTGTGGAACATATTTTCTTGTGATTTAATTTGCTATGTTATTTGATTAATAGCACAGTTATTAATCCTTAAAAATCTTTTAAATATAATCCTAACTAATCATTAAAAGCTTTTTGCTTTGTACTAATTGACCTTTCTGATTATTCTAGTAAATACCTATGTCCTGACCCACAGAATGCTTCAAATCCAATCTAGCTTTCTGGGGCCTACATCTGAGGGGATCCTGGGCACCACTTACATAAATTAATATATTTAGCTTAAAAATATCACTGCACTAGCAAAAACTGTTATTGTATTTCATGTAGTTTTATAAAGAAAGCTTTAAAATATAAAAATTAGAAAGTATTTAAATGCATAGGTTTACAACATTCATACAAGAAACACTCTTGCTTGCTTCAATTAAACTGATACAAAAAAAGTTAAAACCAAAATCCTTCTTGTTGTGGGGGAATTAGCCATTTATTCATAAAGTTAACATAAAGTCAATTTGTGGGACCTCGGCTGAAAAATGAAGTTCAGAATGTAATTAACATTTCCTCTCACTGAGTACTAAATTTCTCATAAATTAACAAAGAGCTGCCTATAGGTCAGCATTAAGACACATAGTTAGGCACATGTATACACACACACACACACACACACACACACACACAGCCCCTAGAAAATAGTTTTCTTTAATTACAAACCCTACAAATGACCATCAAATAAAATTTCAATTCTGAACTTCAACAGACTCTAAAGAAAAAGTTTGCCCAATATTTTCCTTTCAGAACCTTATTCCATAGCTGAAAGCTAATAAGCTCTTTAAAAGGTTCAAAGATTTACGCAGATTTCAAGCATGATTCTCATTATGCTTTCATTTATCTGGCATGATCACAGAAAATAGGGATCTGAATAAATTAATTCCCAAATACCCGAAGTTAAACCTTTAAAGTGCCAAAAGACTTGATTGTATTCATTTCCTAAGAAAATATTTATAAACAATATGTTCTGCTGTTAAAAAAAAAGTGGATTGAATATATTTTAACCTTTTCTTGATGATTCATTTTGTCATTATTAATATCAACTACTATACTTTCATAAAGTACATAGAGTGATATCACTGGGAACAGATGAGGTGCCTCAAGCACATGACAATTTGGGAAAGGATGCAAACATA